TTTCTATTGCAATCTGCAGAAGGGAATTAAATTCTTTTTGATATTGTAGTTGGGTCTCTTTGTTTCTTGAGAAAGATTGAAAGAATGTGGAGTCCAATTAGGTGAATTTTTCATTAATTGCATATGGTATATTGTATTGAGTTGGATTGGTTTGAATTTTATGTTAAAAAAATTGGAGAAGTAACTCAGGTGATGAGAATGTGTTAATAATAGTATTGTTATTCCAAGTTTCTAAGTCAAAGTTAGTAGAGCGAGCTTTGGCTAATGTGATTATTATAGAGTTATACCAGGTGAGTAAGTGGTCATCTTTATTGTTGTTTTTAGGGAGGTTAGAAGTAAGTGCTTTGCTATAAGATTTTTTGGGGGAGTTAGTGATTCAATTGTTGTATTCGATTGGGTATCCATTGTTTCGTCCAAATATTCGTTGAGTTGGGTATGTCTTGTAGATTCCTTGTTCATTGTTAGGGAAGGTTCTGGGTTCTGGAAGTTGGACTGGGTTAGATTGGGGAATGAATCGGGGTTGTTTTGTTGATCTGTTGTGATGATCATCAGTTGGGGTGCAGAGGTATGTGCATTGATATCCACTTTGGGTTGTGAGTTCTGGTATTTTCCCACGTTTGTTTGTTTGTTATCTATGTTTGTTTGTTTGTTTTGATAGGATGATGTTATAGCTATTTTTGACGGGGTTTGCTAGATTGTCTACTTTGAGGATGCAGTTGAGTTGTATTAACTACTAAAGGCCAAGGATAGATGTTTGAGTTGGTGTTGTTGCTTTTATTTTCTATAGTTTTTTTCTTCTTTAGTGGCGGAGAGTTATCAGGTGTGTTGGTTGTTATATTGCTGTTGTTTTGTTTATTTCTCACACTGTCTTGTTTGTTTAGATTATTTCCCACACTGCCTTATTTGTTTGGATTATCCACCACATTTGTTTGTTTGTTTTGGTCAAATAATGTCATTGATAATTTTAACAAGGGTTTGCTAAATTCTCCAAATTTTGTGAATTGCTATATGATAAAGTAGTAGTGGTGGTGTTGGATTTAGTATTAATTTCATCTATATATTTAGGGGTTGTCTTTTTCTTCTTTAGTGGTGGTGGATTGTCTGGTTTAGTAGATTTTTGTTCTATGAGTTGGTTGTCCAAGATCCCAATGAGATCTATCAGAGTGTAGTTGGAAGACATTAGAGAGATGAAAAAAGGTTTGAAAGCTTCAGGGGTAGAAAGTAGTGTGTTTCTATCTCTCTTCAGCTTTGTATAGGTATTGTTAAAGTCTCTTATACAATATTTAGAAGGCCAAAGACCAAAAAATCTATATAAACTATTTGTATTCGTAAATTTGCAAATGTTTTCTTTTTGATTTTTGTTGTTTTGATGATTTACAGGAAAGAGTTTTTTTGGCAATTATGCAACATTTTGATTTTTATTATTTAAATATTTATTTTTTTTATAAATATTATATATACAATTAATAGCAAAATAAATATATAATATAAACTAAATATATCTAAGCTATTATGCTAAAAAGAACAAAAAAAAAAAAAAACTAAATATATAAAAAAATATATATATTATTTTCTAGTACTTTTAGAATTTCTAGAACCTTTTTAACTTAAACTATCTTTGCTATATTGTGGTTTAGAAGTTCTAATAGTATTGGTAAGATAAATATTATGAACTTTGTTTAATTCTAAATTATAAAATAATTATTAATATATAATAATATTAAAAATATAGCAAGTTATAAAATTTACAAATATATTACCCAATTTATAATGATTGATAGCTTTGTCTTTATAGCTTGATGTTGCAATAATAATATTATTATTATTGCTATTAGTAGCTTCTTTAAAGATTATATAAATAAAATATTACAAAAATTTAGTAAAAATTTTAAATAATTTGTATTAAAAATATTAAAAATTATATCAAATGTGATATTATGATTGATATCTGAAAAACTTCTACTACGAATTGTATCAGGATTATCAAGATTAATAATAGGGGCAGTAGAACAATTATTTGCAAAAACAGCAGAACAATTAGTATTAGAAGTAGCAAAACAAATAGTATCAGAGTAGTATAATGAATAGTATTGGGGGCAGTATAATAATTAGTATTGGGGACAGCATAATGATCATTTTCAAGAGCAGTATAATAATTATTTTTAGGAGTAGCATAACAATTATTACTGAAAGCAACATTATTATCAGGGGCAGCACTGGAATCAAGATGTGTATCAGGAGCAGCAGCATCAGGCTCAAAATATTTAAAGGTATCAGTACTAAAAGAACTTATATCAGAAATAATGAGAAAAGTGTAATTTCAGAAAATATACCTGCTAGGAGCCATAGCTAATAGTGTAGAGTTATTATTAATATAAATAAATAAATGTAATTATATTAGTTTTGTGACTTTATAGGAGGTGACTATATAGAGGTTAGACTATACTCAAATAATTATAGTTACAATAAATAAAACTAAATCAGATTATAAAACAAGCAACTCTTTCTGATGATTACTTAGACCAACTTTTCAAAACAAAAATTTTCAACAAAAACAGTAAAACTATGCTAGAAAAGAAGAACATAAGACTAATGAGAACTATAAACTGGCACCTATTATTTAGAGATAGTTCTTATATGCTATTTGCTAATAGGTAAGAGCTTATCACTCACTGTAAGGATGGCACTTGTTATTTAGAAGTAGTTCTCATATGCTACTTGCTAACAAGTTCAGAGTTTATCACTTACTAAAAAGAATATCAGCAGTTTACTTGTTTTATTATTCTTGATAAAAAATATACTCTTTTTTAAGAAAAGTACAAGGTCTATACTTTTTACTATTATCTACTTGTGCTTATAACAAAATTTTTAAAAAAAGTAGACAAAATAGCTTACTCTTGTCAAAAGATTGGCATTGTTTACTCCTTCCAAATTTGGTCAATCTGGTAGATTGCAACCACATGTTTTGTTTAGTAATAAACATGTCACTACTCCATGTGACATAGTCTATCGACTAGTCTATAGTTAAAAGTATACCCGGAATTGGTTATATAGTAGAAAATAAACTAATATATTAAGGCAAAGTCTTACAGCAGAGATATACAGATGTTGTATTTGTTATATAATTTTTAAGCCTTGTACAGGTTATAATAGTACTATTAGGTCTTTTTTCCTTTTTGTTTTTTTCTTTTTTGAAATTTGAGTTTTTTTTTTTTTTTTTTCTTTTGTTTGTTTTTTTTTCTTCTTTTTTTTGTTGTATTTGTTAAAGAACTTTTTATTTCTTCCCCTCTTTGTCTCATGCCCCTTGAGAAGAAGAAAGAATTAGGAGAGAAATTAGTTCTAATATTTTAGTTCTTTAAAAGCTAGCACATAATCTAAATCATCTATGAATCAGTGCGATAGTCATAGCTAGGTGCCAATAGATAATAGATGAGGTTGGGCTTTTAGTTGCAGCTTTGTTGTTTTTTTAACCATAATTGTCTTTTGAGATTAATTTGTAAACTGTACACAAGACTTGGCAAGATCATCAAAGAATAAAAAAAAAAAAAAAAAAAAAAAAAAAAAAAATTAGTGCAATTGCTATATATAATATAAAATACAAGTTTATTATATAATCTTTATATTTGACTAGATTATAAGTCCTATTTAAACTTTGCTGCAGCCTCTAATCAATTCTGCTAACATATTAATGCTGTTATTGTGTCTAGGTCTAATAAAGTATAAACTTCATTAATTATATGCTCTGCATAGCTAAATATTTGTTTAAATACTACACTGATAGATAGTATTACAAGAAAGTCTTGAGCCATGGTTGACAAAGTTGAAAAGCAATCTTTATTAAGTTTTTACTATTCAAAAATATTTGTAGTTCTATCTGCAATTTGTTCATCTAAATATTAATTAACTTCACAAAGCATATTATTTTTACTAGTATAAGTATTTCTTATTGTATATTCAAAAAAATCATTAATATGATCCTCAAATATTAATATATTATCTTTAGTACTAACAACTTCGTGACTAGTTAAACGTTCAATAGCTAGCAGAGTATAGTAAGTTTGAAGATATATATTTTCAAATCTAATTTTTAGAATTATAATGTTATTAGTAATATTAAATTGTAAATAACTAAATTAATAAATATATACTTTTTTCTAATATTTTAAATTTTATTATGAAAGATGGTTTAAAAAAAAATTCAGAAACAATCAGCAGAGTAATTATATAAGTGAAAATCCACGAATCTTATTTAATAAGATTTGCAGATTTTCTCTTAGTAGTACTCCTATATTATTGTCTTTAATAATTTTTTAACAATTCATTTGATTTTTT